TCGGGGAGTACACGCTCTCGCCTGCTTGCTTGTGGTAGTGGTGTTGGTTCCATTCCGATTGAAAATCTGAAATTGAATTATTATATGCATACTCTCTCCGCCTCCCCCCTCCTCCCCTCCCCGGGGGAGGCCGAGGCCCGCAAGTGCAGTTAACCCTCGAAAAAACCACCCAACAACGACGGATATACGGTCCCTAGCACCGTGTAGGAGAGGATCCTGAGTTTGGCGGTCGGGAGTTACCGCGGTCACGAGATCGAGGTAGGTCGTGATAAGCCAACTTGGAGACAGCTGCCGATGGGTTTGAACCCAAATGCCCCGGTTTGGACACCGGGGCAAGGCAGCGGTGGAGAGCACGGAGAGGGTGGCGGGATGATCGCACACCGTGTGGGTAAGCACCCAACAGGGGGACGGAAAGGGTCCAGAGCTGGAGAGCCACGCCGCTCCGGGACAGGAAGACACCTCGCTGGGAAAGGCAAGCACCGGGTTAACTCTTACATTAACCCGAGGATCCGCAGAGCAATAAAAATAAAGAAAATAAAAAAAGGAAGGAAGAAGAGGAGGAGGGGCCGGAAGGTGCGTAGGCTGATTAGGGATGCAGCACGCACCGCCCGGCAGAGGCGGCAGGGTCGACTTGTTAGGGTAGCAACCTACAATGTGCGTACACTGGCCGTGAACGGGGCCAACGGCTATGGGAGAGCCGACAGCGTCTTACACGAGGCAGCGAAACAGGGCATTTCGTTTGTCGGTCTGCAGGAGGTCAGGAGACCAGGGCGAACGGAGTTCGCAGCATCCGGTTTTCGGGTGTTCACCTGTGGCACGGACAAGGGTGGTACGCATGGCGTCGGAATCGCTGTGGAGGAGACGCTGTGCAAATCCTCCCAGTACACCACGGAGTACGTGGACGAGCGCCTCATGGCTATGAGGTTTGAGATGATGGGCCACCGCGGAGCGGTGACCTTCGTGGCTGCGTATGCCCCAACAGACGTGGCCACCACCGAGAGCAAACACATGTTCTGGGAAAAACTTGACAGTCTCGTGCGTCGTACCCCCGCTAAGGAGTATCTTTTCGTGCTCATGGATGCCAATGCCCAGACCGGAGGAGGGATAGCAGGGGAAAACGAAGGAACCATGGGCGAGTACGGGCGCAATGAGCTGAACGAAAATGGTGAGCTGCTGCTGACTTTCGCCACGGACAACAGATTAGCGGTCCTCAACACCTTCTTCGACACACGGAGGGGCGGGATATGGCATACGTTCAACGGCCCGTCGGGACGCGAACGTAGGTGCCTCGATTACATCCTGACGCGCCAAGCACACCGCGACCGAGTGTCCAACATGGAGGTCGTACCTCAGCCAGTGCGCCCAGTCAGAGCGGACTCAGACCACAACATCGTAGTAGCCACCGTCGACCTCGGTGGCCGGCTGGCCCACAACCGACCTATCCGGACCAACCCCAAACGGCGGCAGTTCAACCGACAAGATCTGCAGGTCGAGGCAGCGCGATGGGCTGTATCCCAACGGTTTCTCTGCAACCTGCTCGCGAGGTCGGGCGCGCCGGCGACCACCACGCAGGAAATGGCGAAGGAGTTCACGGAGGCCCTGCTCGGCGCGGCGGAGACGGAGCTGTCTGAGGAACCCCGGAGGCGGCGCACCACGGAATGGAACATGACCACCGCGGCACGGACAGCCCTGGCGACCGCCCTTGACAAGCGACGGGCTGCGCGACATTCCTTCAAGGCCGGACCGAACGCAGCAACGTGGAGGATCCTCAAAGCAACGTGCAAGGGGGTGAAGGCAACAATCGCAACGAGCATCTACGACCACCTGGAAAGATACGTGACGGAGCTCGAAGCGATCTACCAGGACCGCGACATGCGGGGGCTGTACCAACACCTCAAGCGGTCAACGGGCCTCAGCGGGAGACAAGCTGGGGGGCAGCAGTTCGTTACAGACGAGAACGGCGTGCTACTCCGGAACAAGGATGCCATCCTCAAGCGGTGGCGGAGATTCTTCAATACCCTCCTGAACTCCAAGTCCCCCACTCTGAACCCAGACGTTGTCGAACAGGTGATGCAGCGACCAGCGACGCGCGCCACCCGACACCTGGCGGCGGTACCAGACCTCGAGGAGGTTGAGGCGGCGACGAAAGGCCTGGGGAACTGGAAGGCGGTTGGTCCCGACCTCCTTGCCGCCGAACTGCTCAAGGTCGACGGCGACGACGAGCCAGTTGTACTGGAGCGCCTCCGTGCCATCTTCGTCGAAGTGTGGAATGGGGGAGAGATGCCGCAGGAGTGGAAGGATGCCATCATTAAGGTGCTGTACAAGAAGGGTGACCGTTCGAACTGCAACAACTACAGGGGCATCTCGCTGCTCTCGCATGTAGGCAAAGTACTCGCCAAGACCATCACCAACCGCCTGAGCGCATTCTGCGAAGCCAACGAAATCCTCCCGGAGGAACAGTGCGGGTTCCGGCCTGGCCGATCCACGGTATGCATGCTGTTCGTTGTGCGCCGACTCCAGGAGCTGGGGCGGAGGAGGAGAATCCCGCTCTACATGTGCTTCATCGATCTGCAGAAGGCATATGACTCGGTGGACCGGGAGCTACTGTGGAAGGTGCTGGCCCGGGCCGGGATCCCCGGGGAGATGATCGCCGTCATCCGCAAGTTCCACGTCGGAATGCGGGCCCGGGTCCGCACGGACGATGGGGAGCTATCGGACTGGTTCCCGGTCACGCAGGGATTACGACAAGGGTGCTCAATGTCCCCACTGCTGTTCAACGTCTTCTTCGCAGCGCCTCTCGAGATCATTGTCACACGGTTCAGCCAAGATGAGGTTATCGTGCGGGACCTAGTGTACTTGAAGGAGGAGGAACGGAGGGGGGAGGGATTGCTGGACCGAGTCCGGAGGGCGGTGTGGGGGATGCTATATGCCGACGATGCCGGCGTTGTGTCGAAGTCCGCCGACGGCCTGGCGAGGATGATGACCATTATCGTGGAGGTGTTCCGGGAGTTCGGGCTGACGGTGTCGGAGAGGAAGACGGAGACCCTGGTGATGCGGGTGAAGGAGAGACAGCGACCGCCGCCGCCGCCACCGCCGGTGCTGACCATCGAAGCAGCGGGGCAAAGGTACGCACAGACGACCGAGTTCCGATACCTGGGCGGCCTCGTCAACGAGCAGGGCGACCTTACCCGAGAGATCAACCACAGGAGCAAAGCAGCGTGGGCGTGCATTAAGCGATACGCCACGGAGCTCTTCGACCGACCGGGAGCACCGTTTCGCCTCAAAGCCCGCCTGCTCCAGGCGGAGGCAGTGGAGGCACTGCTATACGGCTGCATGACATGGTCCCCACGCCGCAACCACTACGGAATGCTGCAGACGACACACCACCGGCTACTCCTGCGAGTCATCGGCTACCGGCGCAAACGAGGCACCTACCGGCAGCTGTCATACGCCCAGGCGCTAAAGAGGGTCGGCTGCCAGAGCGTGGAGGCCACTGTCCGTCAACGGCGCCTGCTCTTTGCGGGGGCCGTGGCAAGACAGCCGGACGGGCGGCTTCCGAAACGGCTGATGTTCGGCGAGTTGGTGGGAGGGGAGGACCCGGGCCGGGGAAACCCGGAGCAGAACTGGCTGACATGCCTGAAGGACGACATGAAGATGTTCGAAGCCAGGTACGGCTCCACGACCGACAAGCAGAGCGTCTTCGGAGTCCCGAAGTTAGTCTGGAGTGAGGCGGCGAAGGTGGAGGGGGGGGTACCGTGGCACGCGGGGGTGCTACAGGGAGCTGAGAGGTTCATGGCCTCTTGGCACAAGGGCAAGGAGGAGGCCAGCCGACAACGAGCCATCAAACGAGGAGACAGCGGGCCCAAAAATAGTCTAGATACGGCACCAATCAACGGGGCGGTAGGGGGGCGGAAGGAAACGGCGCGGCGGGAAGAAAGCAAGCGAGAAGAGACCGACCGCGTGACGTGACATGTTGCGGTCGAATTTCAACGACTAATTTTTCTGTTGCCCTCTCCCCCGTTTGCTGTCGCGTTCAGACTGTCTCTAGGGATATCCCTGTCTCTGTGCGAGTTTGTTTGTGTCCTCGTCTTTGCTTTATTCTGTTTTATTTTGTCTTTTGTTTTGTTTTTTACTGGCACGTACCCCCGCCCCTTCCTTTGGCCGTCGACCTGCCTCCATGTAGTGGGAGGCTACCCCCCCAGGCTGGTGGTGCGGCCGTTCCACTAGTCTAATTATTTATTTTATTTTATTTTATTTGTTTCTGATTATATTTTGTTTTCTTGTATTTTATCGCTCTGCTGACCCTTGGGGTCCATTTTATTTTGGTATACCTTTTCTAGGTACGTTAGCCTGTGACCACGGAAATTGGCCGAGTCAAGTGATGGATTAGTACGGAGAGATTGAGACAGAAGGAGGTACTGGATAGAGAGACCGGGATGGTTTTTAATGTGAAGACAACAACAACAACAACAATATTGTATTGTTGTTGTCTTCACATTATTGTGTTGAAATTTTTTTTTGCCGACGTCAGCAGCAGCGTATGAGCGCTGTTTGATCGAAAGATTGAATTTTCGTGGGAAACAGCAGCACGTACAGTGCCGGCCCGCACTTGAGAATATGGCACTGAAGAATTTGATGCTAAAAAAATCCAAAACTTAAGAATTTACCGATAAGAATACGTGCTCAGCTGCACGCCCTGTTAGGAACAAGAACACACACCTGAGGTGCAAAACTGCTGCTGCAAATGAGAACGACAGCAATGCAGGGGCTGCCAGATAAGAATAGTCGCAGAGGGAGGGAGGGAAGAGGGGGGAGTGATCCCAGCGTAGAGAGTATTGGATTTGGGAGGGGTACATAACCCACATATCATTATTTGTAACTTTTTAGAGGGGGAGGGTGGGCATTGTACGCACGCGTCGTGCCCCTGGGTGCCCCCGAGAAAAGCGTGCGTGCCACGCAACGTGCAGCGTGCCACGAGCTGCCTGTGGTGTAGGGGGATCATGTCCCAGTGCAATCCCTTATCCCATGGGATATTGAAAGAGCTCGGCAAACTTGCAGAGTTGAAACAAAGGGGTCTGATTCTTGACCGTCACTTCGAGACAATCAAAGCACACGTGAAGGCTGGGCATGGGGTGGTTTGGAGGGCTGATCACTCAACAATCTCAGAAGGACACTCGCCACCTGTACGACTACTGTGAGCAGCTGGAGCTAGACCAGAGTGCGCGCAAGATGAAGTTGCCCTTAGACAATTACAGCGGAGATTCGGATGCGGCTGTAGGCTCCTGGGTTTTGCTTGAGAGCATCAGTAGATCAGGAAGGGTTTGTTGTTGTTGTTTGTCTTCACATTAAACCGTATGTCAGTTGCTAAATGCCAAAATCTAGCAAA